GTGATTTACATGCAAATCATGCGGGGCAATCAGGTAATTCGAACGAGACTAATATTGCTGAAAGTTTTTGTGATGATGGAGATGTGATGTTGGCTGTATCTGAAGGGGAATTCAAACCTGAGGAGTGGATTCTGGATTCTGCTTGTTCGTATCATATGTGTCCCAATAGAGCTTTGTTTCAAACATATGAGACGGTGAAGAAAGGTGGAGTTGTCATGGGAAACAACCAATCTTGTCGGGTTGTAGGAATCGATCGGGTCAGATTGAGGCTACGGGATGGAACAGTGAGGACACTTGATCAGGTTGGCCATGTTCCAGACTTGACAAAGAATCTCATATCACTGAGTACCTTAGATGAAAAAGGGTACAAATTTTCTGGTGGAGGTGGAGTCTTGAAGGTTCGAAGGGGTGTCCGGGTTGTACTGGAAGGACGGAGGAAATCCCAGTTGTACATCTTGCAGGGGAGCGTAGAACCAGTTCAGAGACATTTGGACAAATTCAGTACCGTGGTGGACATTCAATTTGGTATAGTACCTCTTGGGTTTGGCTCTGGGTCAATTAAGAACTTTGCTCAAGGGAATGTTGGTGATTCCGCTTTGCTACCAATTTTGGCGAGTACACTGTGTTCTTGTAATACCAATGGACTCAGAGAGCGTTGGTACAGTTTTGGAGATGTCTGTAATGCTTTAGAAATCATTGAAGGTGACAATATTGACAAGGGACCTTCTGATTGTGCATTTGGTGTGGTTTCTGCTACAGGGTGTGCTTCGACCCTGTCCAGTGATTGTTAATTCCAAGAGAAATTTTGGGAACCCGGGTTTGGGTTCGGGTGTCGCTTGTGGACGCCGGGCAGGGGAACGTGTTATCGTGGAGAGTTTGGTTATTGCATTGAGGAGATTGGTCAATTCATTCTGATGCAGACGGATTATTTCTCAAGGTGGAGAAATTTTGGAGCTTCGTTCGTTGCATCGGAATTTGAGTCAAGGTGTTGTTAGAAGTGTGACTCAAATAGGAGTCTAAATTGCATTAGACTTCTTTCCTTTTTTGGGACTCTTTTAGGGCTAGATTTTATACTATAAGTACAAGGCTCCTCTTTCAGTATGAAAAAGCCATTATTGATGTAATTCTCTCCTTTCATTGATTGAATAAAATAACATCGTTCCTCTGCCAGTTCTTTTATTTCTTTACTTTAGTCTTGTTCGTGATTTTTTGTGATCTTGTTAATTACTTCAATTACAACAAGTGGAATTCATTAAATCTCAATTCCTGCATTATTGGTCAATCGGTCTCAACACATAGAACTGATACGGCAATGGCAAAAATGAGTGTTATAATACAGCATGCTTGTAGGCAGTGGCGGAGCCACTCAGTGTCCAGTGCGGGCATTGCCAAAAATGAGTGTTATAATACAGCATGCTTGTAGGCAGTGGCGGAGCCACTCAGTGTGCGGGCAAATGCCCGCATTGGACTCCAATTTTTTTATCTTTTTATCTTTTCTTTATCTTATCTTATTTTTTTTTATTTAAGTGTTGAGTTTTACTTTTATTTATAGTCCAATCGATACATTAATTTACCCCAACTCCAAGTCCACGGTGACATTTTCTAACTCTTTCCCCTCGACAAGAAATTAAAAATTTTCCTTTAATCTACCATCATTTTGAAATATTTTCAAAGTTCATTTCTTTCTTAAAACCCACGTTTCCTTGGGCCCTCAAATTTGCAGCAAAAAGTTTCTTGATCATGTGATTTTTCTATTTAATATTAGTGATTATAATTATGTGAATATTGAATATTGGTAATATTTGTGATGGATTCTTAAAATCTTGTTTTTTTTAATTAGTCAAACAATTAGTGATGATTTTCTGGTGTTCTACCAATTTGTAAAAAAATTGTAATTATTTCCTTATTAATTAGTATTTAACTGTCACGTGTGGTTTATTTTAGTGTGAAATGTCAATGGAGAGTTTCTTTAAAAAAAAAATATTTCGTAGAAAATGTTGATGAGGAGATATCGAATAAAATTGATTTTTGATGTTGCACAACTTGCTACAAATCCTAGAATAAGGAAGAAGATGCTAATCTTATTAGTGTTGTCACTATGTCATTTTTAGCATTATTGTAATATCATTAAATTCATAATCGAAAAGTCCGACATTGACTAAATTTTGCCCGCACTGGACAAAATTCTTGGCTCCGCCCCTGCCTGTAGGTATATTCCAAGCATCCTATATTGTTTTACACCATATCCTTGCCCGCATAATGTCTCAAGTGCACCACTCAAGCCAACCTAGAATGTCACGTAAAAAACTTAAACCGGTTGCTAGCCAGTCAAATAAGTACAGAAACAAGATATCATGTAGAAGTCAGCATAAGTTTTCTCTCCTTTTCGCTCTTGAAATTTCCTCAGTCATTTTAGTATATCGGAATTCTTTTTTCCTCTTCACTGTAGAAATTTTTACAAGATAAAAAATTCGTGTGACGCACTCTATGTACTATAACTTCTCGACCGAACAATGATAAAAATCTAGGAGAGTTTGGTTGGATGCAGTTTTAGACTATGTTGCACTGAAATGGGAAACGTAACAGGACACAACACGGGAAAATAACATCTCTGAAAAATGTCGAACATGAAACGTTGTGGAAATGTTATATTAAAATTATTAATTTAATTTCATTAAGTCAATATTCAACTTCAAAAGACTCTATAATATAAGTTAAATAATAAAATTTCTACTATCTATCTAATTTAACTAAGATCTTGACATAAAATGATTGTCATCTCAAAAGTCGAAACAATTATTGATAATGAATCAACACTCGAACTAAAAAAATTTCTCAAGTCAATTTGCTTCAGCTGCATCACCACCATCAATATTTATAAAACTATCACCAGCATCATAGAATAACATGGCCTTCATCTCTAGTTCATCTAAAGAAAGATTTGCAATATCAAGCGTTCTAGTATCTTCGAAAGAGTCAAATTGATCCCTAGCTACATCCCACGTCTACTATCTTCCTCAATGTCTCACAATTCTTGACAAACAATTAGAATTTGATAAAGGTGGCACAATAATTAGAAAATTTAGGTTTATATAGCATTTTAATACTTTTAAATAATAAATAAAGCCCATAATTTAAGTTAAATTTAAGCCAAAACCCATAATCGAGTTAACTTTTGGTTAGAACCCATGATTTTTACTTATTTATTTTTTGGGGTAAAAATTAGGAATTTTTCCACTCAAAGTTTCCTAAAAGTTTTCTTAGAATTTTCAAATTCCATTAAAAAAGGGAAAATTTTTTTCAGTTTCCGAAACATTTCCGGAGAGTTTCCAAAGAATTTCATTTTTCAAATTGAAACGCTAGCGTCCGGAGAGTTTCGATGAATCATAGGTTTTAGCTAATGAAAGTCCAAAGCACAAAAACATGAAGAAAAATCATGCATCTCTACACTGTACACTTCACATCACCTACGGAAGCCCATGAATTGGCAAGATTAGAGCCGGCGAGCTCGAGCTCTCCAAGGTGGCCGGCGAACATTACAGACACCAAAGGTATAAAATAGTAAGCAACATTGGTCAGAATCATGGGCAATGCGAAGAGAATCTGATCTTTTGCCTCATCCACATTGATAATCTTGCTCCCCCACCTCTCCGCCGCATTGTTTACCAGTAATGGACTGGTCTCCGCCTCTTTACTCAAAACAGATGGATGATTGTGATATATTAGTAAATTTAAACATTCAGAAAACTCTAGTAATAATGAAAATTCGAAAAATAAAAAATAAAAAAACAAGAGTCAGTTATAGACCTAATTACCACAGTTTCTTTATTTTTAGTAAGATGATGATTCATTTTGAAAACAATTATCTTTGAATTTCTTAAATTGCCTGAGCTTTAGGAGTATTTAACTACTCGTTTTAACTTTAGACTTTATAGTCTCTGAAATTATATTGAGACTTGGAATTTCATCTTGAAACGTTAATCTTGTTAGTCTAGACCGTTACGTTAGTTATTATTTTTATTTCTAATCTATGTAAAACTTTAACCTTAACATGGAAATGGTATGATGGAGCATTTTTAAAAAGCAAAAGTACAATTTCCAGATTTCAAAGTTACCAACGTACTATATATATTTCTTCGATTTAAAATACACTACACAAATTCCTTTCTTTTTATTCTGTATAGAAATTGTTTTCGTTAAAGATATCTGATTTTTGATGATTTCTCTTTACTTTAGCATTCATAACGTGACTCGCGATAGGAGAAAAATGCGTAGGAAGAGCTACAGTTTTTTTAAGACATGCAATCAGTCTAGAAGTCATTAGTCTATTATTTTCTTTATTTTCGAGTTCATGTGTTGGAGGTGTAAAATTACGTCCTCCTATGTAATATTATGTAATTTTCTACCTGTTTTTCGTATACGAGTAAAGGTCACGGGAAAAAGGCCGAACATTTATTTCCAAAATAAATACATTTTAAAGTTTTTTCAACGATTAAATTAACAATAAATTACTAACTCAAATTTTCTAATTTATAGATAAATACAAGATGAAAATGTGACATGTCATGAGTTGAGTTTGGATAATATAATAACACCCTTCCTCCTATCCTTTTTTTTCCTTTTGTTCTTCTTTTTTTTTTTTAGGACTTTTAGAGTTAATTAAGAAAATATAATAGATTCACAAATTCCTTTTCATTCTTATATCATTTATTCAATTTAATTCTTTCGTTTTTCAATTAAAAATTTGACTTTTAATTCTTCTTGCTACACCTAATATTAATTAAGTTTGACCATTCAATTGAAAGTAAATTTTGTATAATATAAAGGAGCTATATGGAGACCTTCTTTTAAAAAAATAAAATAAAATCAAAGAGGCCAAAAACATATTTTTGTTTATTTACTTATTTAAGTTTAATATTGTCAACACGTTATTTAATCTCTTTCATGACACTTGTGCTATTCACATCCAAATATTTTTAAAACACACATTTATCACAAAATCACTTTTCACAAAATGAAAGCTAATAATTGGACAATATAAACATTTTATTTTATTATTTCATTAATTTAATTTTGATTTCACTCTCAAAATTTAAATTAAGGTTGCCTGCTAATATCATAAATTATTGAAATATAATTTCTTATGACCTGTTGAACCCTATTAAATAAATTTTGCATACAGTTTTTATCATCTTTATTCTATTTAGATGAGACATTAAATGTATTTTCTTCGCTTGAGAAAAATAAAAAATGAAAAATATATCCATAATTAATTATTCCGTTACGAATTCTAAAATTAAATTATTTGACAAATTAAATGTTCTAATGAAAATTAATATATAATTTATTAGCAAGAACAAGACAAAGAAAGTTTACAATAATATTTACTCACAAATTTAAA